ATAAAGGTGAAATTTTTTCTTGTTTATCCAAATGAAAATTATTATCAAATAAGATAAGTAATTCAACAAATGTTAACTTCAAAAATAACTGGGCTTTCTTTTTTCTACTATCTATACTCAATTACCATAATACTAATCAGGTAATTATCTAAACTCTTCGTTCAAGTGTTAATTTATAACATCTGTTTGTCTTTTGATTATTCTTTAAATCCTTACTATTATTACTATAGTAATTCATTTCGGGTTACTTTAAAAGCATAAGTTAATAAGTCTCTATCTTAACACATAAAGCATACAAACACAGTATATATATATTCATATCTATATTCCCTTATGGTTTTCTTCTCAGTTTCAAATGTTTCTCCCTTTTTTTTTCTTCTCTAACTGATAAATAAACAAATGAAATCAGTGAAAAGTAACTGATGAATAGATAATGAGAATTTTATGCATGAACAACTTCTCAACTTACAGATTCTTGATGATGACTTGATAAAAAAAAAGAAAGTGTTATGTAATATGACTACCTTCAAGCAGGTAATATGTATATGTATATGCTTATTCACTGTTTAATTCAATGTTGACATCATCTACACTTATTGATGTATGAAAAAAAATGAAAAAAAATTATTCTTGTTTCTAAAATAAATACTAACTAATTTAGTAACATGGTTACTAAAATAGAAATCAGCTGATCTGTAATGCTTTTAATGATTAATATTAAAGACAGTATAAAGAGTTTCCATGTATGAAATAAAATGAATGAATGGGTTTTATGTCATAATATGATGGACAATGTGATGACAATTTTTTTTCCATTTTATTTTTAGTTGATATTGATGAATTACAATTTTATTTATTTTGACATTAAAAGAAAAATAGATTACTATGTGGATAATTTAAAAAGGAGTGAATTTTTCAGTATTCAATTCACTATTCAATGAAGTAACTAAGGTTATTACTTCATTGTAGGTTATATTAAGACGCTTTCAAACAAGTTTTTTTTTCTTTTTTGTAGAATCAATAGCCATTAATTAGTTTTGTTTATTTAACTAAGATGATGACATAAATAAATACTAATGTATTTCAATGGTATACTGATAAACTTAATACCTAAGAAAAGTTCAACCTTAGTCCGATAACTTGTCCGTATATCAACTCGTATTTCTTTCTAAGTATTTCTTAGACTATTGTCTGAGATAGATAGCTAATAGACTTGAGTATTAAGAGAAAATTATGAGTGTATCACTGATATGTTTAATGTAAACATCTAACTTATTCAGATTATTCTTCTATTATAATTTTAGGATGATTATAAATGAATAATATATTTATAATATCCCAATGAGTAGAGAAATTAGATTTTCTGACGTCTGAATAAATCAGACCTGTTTTTGATTGATCACCTAATATTCTTGGATTGTTCCGTTATACTATTTAAACTTGGATTAATGTTAATTTGGTTATTTATTCTCTGAAGAAGTGGCTTACACTGAGTCACGAAACGTCAGAAAATCTAATTTTTCTACTCATTGGGATATTACAAATATATTAATTTATTTATAACAATCCACCCAATGCTCAATTTATTCGAAATTATCAAATCAAAACTTGGTAATGATACCTACTTTAGGATGATTATTGAAGTATAATGTTTTAGAATTGTTGTTTATTAAGTGTGCGTATTAAACGTAATAGAAAATCTTTAAAGACACATCCAATAAACATTTTATAAAAACAGCTCCGAAAACTGTTGTATTTTGAGTCGGTTTTTTAAATCATCAACTTGTGTTAACCTAAAAATCTGACTGTTTGCTTAATTTCTTTGAGTTAGGAAACTTAAACATTTCCAATGATCTTCAACTGATATTGGAGATAATAAACATAATGTCACTTGAATCACTTACAATTTGTTCATTCTCATATCTCATCATTCAGCAGCTTATTCTGTACTTTAACGTAAGAATAAAGTGGATTCATAAGTTCATGGATGAAGAGGTTTAATAATAGTCTACTTCTAGTAAAAGTGTTCAAAAGTATCTCAGGTACTCAACATTTTCCAACTCAAACGATTTCACATAAGAAAGTATCAACTAAGCTTACGAAAACAATTCATATTTGTTATAGTTATTTACTTACACCGTTTTTCACTAACAAATGTTATTGACGAAATTTTAGCAACTTTTATTTATGTCCATCCCAACCTAAGTAATAGAGCTAGCCGAATAGTTATCTGTTGCTTGGTTCATATGAAATAATCTTTTTTTATATACAATCCGATTATGAATGGCTAGTTTTACAGTTCTCACAGATAATTGTATTGTTCGATAGATTGTTTCTCAATGTACTATCATTTGTCAAGTGTATTCTACATTCCAATAATAGTAGTATTATTGATGTAAAGGAAATTAAGAATCTACTTCCAAACCCTTGTGGTTTTCATGGTCGTTTAAATATTGACACTGGAATGAATAAATTTCAACTAAGTGTCATAGATCATTATGGTAATGAAGCCACCTATTGTCTTTCAGTCTCATAATATTGTTAGAAATAATATAAAAACATTTACCTGTTTACCTTTATAATTCATATGATCGAATATAGAATTAATTGAAAATCAAATGTCGTACCTGATTATCTCCATTGAATAACTAACAGAATAAGTTTTTATTTTATACTGCTTTAAAGGAGGTATTCTGAGAAGACATTGCATTTACAATGTTCATGGAATCAACCATGGATTCCATTTTCGGATTATGCATACCATAATATTGTTATATACATTGATTGTCTTATACTCAGATGAATTCAGTATTATTATTAATATCATTATTATCATTAATACGATTCTTATTATTCATAGTTGGCTTTGAGAACAGAATATGATACTGGGGAAGAAAAATACTACCGATTCGCACGCTCTACACATTTTTGTGGATCTCAAAGTTTTAACAATAATTCAAAGGTTTTTTTAAACTACCAAAACAAAAATTGTGATAACACTACAACTCACTAGTTCCACTACTTTTCAAGAGTAAAACAAAATACATCATTGTGATTAAATTTATTCTATTTTTAAATTGAAAGAAAACATGAATAGTTGTTATTACTTATTAAATTTAAAACAAATTTTTGAACTAAATATAAAAGATGTAACTATGATGTATAGGTGTTGTGACTCTAAAGTCCGGCTAATTATCACATGATTTATTCACCAATTGAAATACGACTTATACCATATTCGTACTGCGCCAAACCAATGACGTTCGACCGATATGAGTAGCTTAACATCCTTATTGGTCCTTTGTCCTCCTAGCTCTGACAGTTGAGTCACGAATACCAATAACAGCTTCCATTATGCGATTCACTTAATTCAAACATACTTGGTTTATACACCAGTCAGACAGATCCCATCACACTATAAAATAGGAAATAAAATTTATACAGGATCAAGCCAAAATGTGGCTATGATTATGAGAGACTGTAATTAATAAACCGGGTATAACATAAGAATAGTAATTCGTGTAATAATAATCTATAAGTTAAAGTGTAGCTTATAATAAGCGGAATGTAGATATACATAATCTAGTTATTGAACAGTTGTACAATAGGAATATATATATATATATCATATTAGTCTATAAATAGTTCTCAGAAGTTACCCGTAGTTTAATCTTCACTGGGATATAACATATAGAACATGAAATATTAATTCTGAAAGCTCAGAGTCATCTCGAAAAAAGAGAATAGACGGCAATAAATTTCTATCAACTAGAAATAAGCTAATAGTCTTAATAATGATTCATAAAAAACTATGACTGGAAAATGTTATTTCAAATGTTTTACTGACTTCTTTACGTTTTATTCAGTTGTAAATCGTTTCTTGGCTAACCGATAATTAGACATGATGAAAAGATATGTAATATCCAACGATCGATTGGTTTGCTTCAAGCCTAGAGGAGAAATTTTAAAGGGAAGTATATTTGTACAAATCTGGAAGATAAGAAAGAAGGGGAAACATCAGTTAACGACTTATTAGACAAAGGATTCACTTATATTTATGATGAAAGTAAGTGACATCTGCCACTAGTATACATGCACAAACTCAAGATAATTTGACAATGGAAACTAAAAATTTGTAGAGTTTGTTTTCTACTGTGTTACAGATATCATTTTGTACCCATAGTACAGGTACATTAATTTATCTACCGAAGTTAGCTTTCGTTAATTGGTTTAAAAAACTGGGTTTATAGAATTAGTCATTTATAGATAACATATGTAAGCGAACAATTGTTTTCAATTAGATCGTCATCAGGCTTTACTCTAATATACATGAATATTTATATGAAAATGTTATCGAACTAGATGTAATACAGCTAGAAGCATTATCTTTGGGGCCTAAGTTCTGTGATAGTAGACATAAAATCAACCCATTAGATATTGATGTACAGTTTGAGAATCTATTTTCACAAGCAAGTGACTTGATTCCCACCTCATCAGAGGACCTAGTCAGGTTTAAGACCACTTTAGTTGACAGCAGCCAACAATATAAGAATAGTAAAAGCACTACTAACCGCCTACTTACCAAGCAGCACCGAGACTGTTTAACTAAACTAAGAAAGGAGGAAACCTTGATTATAAGCAAACCTGATAAAGGAGGAGGCATAGTGCTGATGAATAAAAAGGACTACGTTGAAAGAATGGAAACAATGCTTAATGATCCCAGCAAATTTCAAAAAGTCACCAGTCATTCCGATATCAATAAAAAAGTGGAAAACCAGTTGACTAACTCTCTTAAGGATTTAAAGAATAAGGGAATAATTACAAAAGAGATTCTTCATTCTATCAAACTCTCTGGATCTTATACGCCACGACTGTATGGTTTACCCAAAGTTCATAAACCAGGTCTTCCACTGCGCCCAGTCCTAGATATGTTCAATTCCCCTTATCACAAAATTGCAAAGTGGCTAGTACGTATCTTAGAGCCCTTGCACAAATCAATTGTTAGTACGAGCGTAAAAGATGTATTCGACTTCACTTCCAAAGTGGAAAATATGAATGTTAGTATGAAAAATATGTTCTCACTAGATGTAGTATCCTTGTTTACTAACGTACCACTTATGGAGACTATTGAGTTCATATGCGAGCAAATAACTGAAAAGCAAATCAACATTGGCCTGCCGGAAGATTGTCTGAAAGAACTGCTTTTAAGATGTACACTGAATGTTCATTTCGTCTTCAACAATTCCTATTATAGACAAATAGACGGAATAGCCATGGGCTCACCTCTAGGCCCGATTCTTGCTGATCCCTTCTTAGCTAAGCTAGAAAATGGCCCACTTAAGGAGGCTATTAAGAAGCTCGATCTATACTGCCGCTACATCGACGATACATTCATAGTCGTGGATCAGAACACCAGTAAGGATGAACTACTTGAACAGTTCAACAGTGTACATCCAGCGATTAGCTTCACTGGTGAAGGCGAGTGTGACACGAAGCTGAATTTCCTTGACGTTACACTAAGCAGGCGAAGTGATGGCTCGTTAAGTAGAAGCGTGTATAGAAAAAGACCCTCTGCCTGCCAATACACTCACTTCTATAGCTTTACACCTATCCAATATAAGAGAAACTTGGTTAAATGCCTCACTAGTAAAGCAAATAAGATCTGTTCTGTTGATACTTTAAGTCAGGAACTGGAATTTATCTATAACTCACTGACTGAGATCGGCTACCCTGCTGCGTTCATCAAAAAGTACATGTATGATACAAGGAAGAAATCAGAGATTTTAACTGTTCGTAAGAAGCCTCTATACATGAAATTACCATTCAACGGGGATGTAGCTAGTGAAACTCTGAAAGATAGGTTAACAAAAGTAATTAGTAGAACTTTCTACGCAGCCTATCTTGCATTGACTTTCTCGAGTCGACCAGTGATGTCTACTCAAACGAAGGATAAGTTACCTGAGTTGGCCTCCTCCATGTGCATTTATAAGTTCAGCTGCTCCTGTGGAGATAGCTATATCGGGCGTACTACTAGGCAACTTAACCAACGAATGAGTGAACATCTACCAGCATGGTTTGGAAAGGGCCAAATAAAAACAATACGCAGTTCTATCTTGGCACATCTAATTGATAGTGGTCATATTGTCGATAAATTGAAATCATTTCAAGTGATCTATCGTATACCTCCATCGTTTCCCAACGGAGTTCGCTCCCGTCTACTTCATATAGCAGAAGCCATAGGGATTTGTACATTCCATCCCAATTTATGTGTACAGAAGAAATTCGTAACCCCCCTATCCCTTCCATGGCCGGACATAACTTAATAATTGACATTATTATTATTTGTAAAAATTTTTATTTTGGTTATCATTTTTTGTTTGTTTGTAATTTTCTACCTCTTTCCGTTTGTATTCTTCACTATCTATTTACTTACATACTTCTTATTACGTAATGATTTTAATGTTTTGTGATTACTATTCCAGACTATTTACCCACGTTTGACCTCTTAATTCTCAATGTTTAATTATTGATAAGACTTTTGTTATCGTAATTTACTATTCTTACTACTATCAGTACACCTGTCTTCCCACTATCAACTTGTACTTTTAACTATTATTATGCTTGGTAACGTATTCTATTTCATTGTGATTATTATTGACTCAAATAGCCTTGATTGGTCTAACATTTTCATATAAATATTCATGTATATTAGAGTAAAGCCTGATGACGATCTAATTGAAAACAATTGTTCGCTTACATATGTTGTTCTAATTTTCACAATGGGAATCTTTAATATTTATAGATAACCTTGGTTTGCTGTCTTGTTACGTCGAAAATATTTGCTTCTTGAACTGCAATAAGAGAAGCTTGTTTAACTTAAATATGTTCTTAGTGGGGATTTAATTTATTAGAATATAATTCTCATCATAGAATGAGTTGGGAAACTCTTAAAAACATGGGATCATTAGATAACTGTTTCGCCTAAGTTCAGTTCTTTTATCAGTGCGTACCGACAACTCTACAACGGATAAAACCCAAAATCATGAATCCTTGAAGAAAACATATAGCAGTCAGACACTCAGTATAATCCTAATTACTAACAGACAGTTCGAAATTAATTACTATTAACTGATAAGCTAAAGTTGGCATTTTTTAAAGATTTATAAAGCAATAGATATAAAGTCATTACTTACATCCGAATTCCTTCGGTTTGCGACTTTTGAGGAGATAAGTAAATTGTAATTCAGAAACGGTGATATTTTTGTAATGCGATTTCCGTACAAAATGCCAAAATGTTAAATGAAAATGGAGTATTGCAAAATCATTAATTAGGATATAACATGAATCCTGTTTAAAAGTAAAAGACCAACTAATCAAGACTACAATAGTCATGACATCATTACAAAGACTGGCATTTGAAGTAGGTATCTTGAATGAAGCTCACCAATGAATAATAAATAATAGTTTAATAGATGTAATTCAAAAGAGATGATGTATCTTTAAGAAGTCGAAAATCGAAATAATACTTTGAATAATATTAATGACTAATGTTTGTAGAATAAATGTGAAACTGCCATCTGTGAAGTCGATTCAGTCGACAGTAAAGCAATGATATAACGATGACATCAGTGATCTTAGATTGACTGAAATTAAATATACAGAGTAATGGATTCTAGCTAAATTGCTTGAAGATGTCTTGCTAGACATGAAACCTACTGACCTTGTGATCAATCTTACTTAAGTTGTAGAAGAGAAATTTGATATAACCACAGGAAATGGTACTTAAAAAGGAAAAAAAATTAATAATTGCCTAACACAAAAAAGGTGATAAAGACAGACGATCGACAATGATTTTACGCCCCACTCACCCAAAAAGAAAAGGAACACAATATTAGCTTATTAACTAAATACGTTGATTTATATACAAATTTTACTGGTAGTTCATGATTATGCAATTAATGGTGAACGTAAATGACAGGATGGCAATACAAAAATGAATTTTCACTAAATTATTAAACGGTATATGTTACACACCATATTGAACAGCTATCAAACTAAATTGATACATGATTTTAAGTTTTTTGTCTCGTCCTAACACGAATTTTTATCACTAATTTACTACAATCACATTTTAATCTAGAATTACTCTTATGGCAGCTCAGGTGCATCCAAGTCTGTTTACATTCAGTTTGGTTAAGCCCTTTTGTTAATTTATTTAACGGACAAAGTCATTTGTACAATAACAACTTATGTATATCATTGTACGTTTATTATTGTTGCACATGTATGAATATGTATACTTGAGCATTGTTCACTGCCCAAGCATATAGTTATTCTTTATCAGAAGGGGTTTTGTGGAGATTTAGTATTTTTCATAGTAGAAAGCATGAATCAATTGAAGCTAGACCACCATGGAAAACCTGGAAACACTGGACGGCCGTTTTGTCCTATTACGGGACTCCTCAGCAGTGCGCATCCACGAACCCGCTCTTGAGAGCGAGACTCGAACCCAGGACCTACCAGTCTTCAAGCCGAAGCCCTTAACCGATAGACCACTGAAGTTAGACATTAACACCGTTGGATGCCAGCTCAGTGGTCTATCGGTTAAGGTCTTCGGCTTGAGACTGGTAGGTCCTGGGTTCGAGTCTCGCTCGCAAGAGCGGGTTTGTGGATGCGCACTGCTGAGGAGCATCATAATAGGACGAAACGGCCGTCCAGTACTTCCAGGTTTATATTTAAATAATTCATTTTTCTTCAGAATAGTTATAATAATACTAATAACGAACTTTAATATTAAGTAGTTGAATGTATTTTGTCGAAATTTCTTTCTATATTATCAATTAACAGACAGCAATAAAAAGTTATGACAGAAATTATTTTAGTAACAGTAGTTTCCAGTTTGTTTGTTTGTTTGTTTTTCTTTTTCTTTCAATCATAACAACAATTGTGATTATTGAATAAGGAAAATATCTAAATGATCATTTTATAATAGAAATATATCAGTAATTTGCATATACATGTATTCTGATGAATCACCATGTACACCAATGTTTACTTATGATAATAATCATATTAATAATAGAAGGGATATAAGAAAATTTTATACTCAACAAATTATATCATCCTATGAAATGAAGAGTTTCATTATTTTCTAAAATGTTAACAAGGAATAGGAAAGTATTCAAAAGATTGATAGGGATACACAAACACATACATAGTTATATATATATATAGTCCAGAGAAAAAAAAAAGAAAGAATACCAAAATAAGAGATTAAACAAAATTAAAAAAAAGAAAAACAGAGACAAAACCAGAGACAACAAAATAAGACTAAATTTCTGAAGAAAAAGAAAATTTACATTTCACAAATCAAAATCCATTCTTAAGAGAATTGTGAAATCGTTTGTTTCTTTTTTTTTTCTTTCACAAAATTCCAAGTTAATCCTTACCATTGGGTACAATAAGAGTTTTATGTTTAAACATCTTTTTATAGTCTACACGTGTGTATGTATGTCTATGACACTCAAAAGTATGTATATGTGTGTATGTGTGTGTACATATCCATAGATTTGTAATAACATATCTGACATACGATTGAGTGGGGTGTAGGGGAAATGTATATACATACATACTGAAAAAAGGAAACATCAGAAAATTTGACAATCTTATAGAAGAAAATCCTTTATTTTGTTACCAAAATTTGTAAAATTATAAAGGAGGATTATATAGATAATCATAAACTATTTTTTATGAGCGAATATTTTCTGGTTTATAATTTTCTGAAGAAATGATCGTAAGGAGCGTAGGTTACATAAGAATATTAAATGGCAATAATTAAACTCAATTATCTTCTGAACTGAAATCAACCGTTAGAAAGATACAAGAGAACCGAAGAGTTTACTTTTTTTCTTCTAAATAATGTATAAACATTATTAGAATAAGCGTTTGTGGAAATTGTAGTAACTTAATGGTTGAATTCATGGATCGATCTAAGCTAGACCACTCTGGACTGACCGGCTCAGTTGTCTAGAGATTAAACGTTCGCGCGTGAGATGGAGGGTCCTGGGTTCGAGTCTAGCGTTTGGGATCATGGATGCGCTCTACTGAGGACGAAACGGCCGTCGAGTGCTTCCAGGTTTTTCAGGGTGGTCTAGCTCAGATTGACTCATGAATTCAACCAATAAATGTATAATCATGTTCACCTCGTAACAACAAATTCATCATTAGACCATTGGGTTTGGAAGAATGAAAAGATGACAATGTCAAACTAGAACCAATCGGTGATTTATTACCGTGGTAATCTAATTACAATCGATCATTAGGTGATTTTGTCTTTAACTTATCTGATTTGATTGATTAAGTACTTATCGAATTTCAGAACTGTCGACCATTCATCAGTAAAACATAAATTACGAAACTTGAATATCATGATTTATACGATTCTTAGTAAATCTCGATGTAAACGTCAACATTGTGATGAAAGTACATTTAACTAACAAGTCCCAAGTAGGATGAAGCGAGTGTTACGGATTCCAGTGCTAGCCACTACCAAAACTTAACATACAAATTATTAATAAGTGAATGAAGATTGAAGAAATAGTAATTATTGGAAGTATTTTCTGGATAATTGTTGCATATATCCTCATTGTACAGTTACTAAATAACTAGACTATTTCGTTTATTGTAAGCTTTCGTCTGAACTTTTAACTATTACCACATCATATTATCCCTAATTTATTGCTATTCAACTATTTACTGTTTGGCAGATTCATAGCCAATTTCGACCGGTTTTGATATAACTGTGATTCTCCATTTTAGAATGTGATGTAGTGTAGTATATCTACATATAAACTTACATTTACCTGAGATAAATAATAATAGGAGTTTGGCTGAAGACTTCTCCTTAAAATTCAAGGCTGTGGAAAGAGAAAGGCGTGCAGATAGGCAAACCAATAGGAGTGAAGCTTGCGTTAACTCAATGTTAATTGTGTTGACCACAACGTATCATTCTTCAAATTAAGGATGCTAGGCTACAGACAAATTGTTAGACGGGAGGTAGAAAGAATATAGACAAAACTCTTTGAATTTAGCAAATGGTATCAATTGTCGTCTTAAAGGCATAACAATAAGAGCTTGAATTATTCTGTTTGTGATATTTAAGACTGAATTCCGACCAGTTTTGATGGTACAATCACATGTTGTGGGGATTGTGTCAATATAACCAAAGTGTCACAAGGTCTTGGAACAGATGATTTGACATTGAAGTGTAGGTACATGAATCTAAAGAGTTCTAAATAAGACAAAACTCGCTTCCACAACTCCAATAATAGTCACAATTCATTTCTCTTATAAGTCATGATTTGCTTACTATACTAGAAAGTCTTCATATATAATCAATTTCCATCGGTTATCTATCTGGTGCCCTTGTGGCGTTTTGGATGCTCATTGTTGTTAAGTCCCATAAAAAAACAAAACAGTTGCCCATTACTTTCTGATTTGTATTCCAACTATTATCAATTTATAAAGAATACAATCTACAAACTAAACTAATCTCTGTAAACAAGCCTCTAACAAAATAACTGAATGTTACTGCCCCTCCATTACAGCCATAGGAAAATAGTGAAGCCTAGTAGGCCCTTCTAGAGAAGAGTGCTACATCGAAGCACGGTACAACTACCGGGACGGGATAGTTGTTTTTGCACTGCTTATGAAGAAACACTACATAACACTTTCAGACTCCTTTTTTACCACCTTTTGTACCCTCAATAGTTATGCAATGATTCTTTGTATCATTCGT